CACCTTCCTTATGTCCCGTCACCCTGAAACCATAGCCCACCAGTTTTCACAGGATTACTGATTCACCATGGAAACAGACTTAAGTTAATATCTGTTCAAACAAATCATTTCAGACCCAGCCGCAGTTTGGTTTGCCCTCATTCACACGACCACACTGTTTATTTTGACAACAAGCGCAGGCCAGGGCAGAAAGGTGTGTGCGTCAAACTTAGCCTTGATCCTCTCCCGTTGCACTTTGTCCTTGACTCAAACCATAACCACCAACGCTATACCACCGCGTCTTTCAATAACTCCCAATTTCCGATGAAACCCTTCTACGTGCTTCTTTCAAAAGGATCAGTCATTGAACCACAATGAGAAAGAAGAGTCAGGATACAGAATGAATTGGCCTCTGTGCTGCTCCGCTCTTTGATCCGTTGCTTTATCACAATTTCCGCACTCAAACAGCTTTGTGCCAGTACAGCCGTGCCTCCATGCCAGCGGAAATGGCCACCTGAATTAAGTGAACCGGCTGCATTCCTGCCCCTAAAACAAAGCACTTGCTGTTCACAATAATAAGGCCGTTTTTTTATCGACAATATACAGTGAACACATCAGAGAGAGAGAGAGAGAGAGAGAGAGAGAGAGAGAGAGAGAGAGAGAGAGAGAGAGAGAGAGAGAGAGAGAGAGAGAGAGAGAGAGAGAGAGAGAGAGAGAGAGAGAGAGAGAGAGAGAGAGAGAGAGAGAGAGAGAGAGAGAGAGAGAGAGAGAGTGAGGGCTTTGTGTCCGTCTTAAAATCTTAGCCCTTGTCCCTGCGTGTAATTCATCTTTCCATATCATCAACGTTCAACATGGTCTCAGGTTGTAGAGTCACCTGCTTGTCTCCTTGGTGATGGTTTTATGCCATTCTGTGAAGTTTGAAGTTTCATTTATTACGGATAATGTGCAACAGATTTAGCACTTTCCATCTGTGGTCCTTGACAATACAATCATATAAACTTACATGTTATAAAGATATACACATTTTAGGAAAGAACCGCCCTCTCCACCTTTTGAATAAAACTCTCTGGTCTTATTTGACGAGCATGTATCACCAGAATGATTGACAATTGGGAGGACCAATAGTCTTGATGATCCACATGGAAGTAGAAAATCCTCATATAAACCTATTTGATATACAGTACAATAAAAAGTGCAAGTTACCCATACATATATTAAATGTGAACATAGGTTATTTAAACTTGGTAATATTACATAGTTCTTTATGTTCAAACTTCAAATGAACCAGTCGATAGTTTTATGTTTGGTTAATTGTCCTGTTCGTCTGTAGGTCTGCCTGTAATCCTACAAGTTTATTCTTTTTTTAGTACCGGTGTGGTCATGTGATGTTCCTGGGATGTGTCTTGTCTGGTGTTTTACATACGTTTATGGCACTGTCCTCCTACCACCAGAGGCAGGACCACAGAATCCAAACAGAAACCCAGGTGTGTGACAGTAAGAAAAGCCCCCTCGTCCCGGTTTAGGGTACTATTTCTATTGCGTCTTTGATCCAGAGTCAGTGTTTGTTGTCCTCCCTCTAAAACCTGTGTAAAACAGCAGACAAGACGTCACAGGAGCGTCCCGTGACCACTCTGAGGAAGACCAGAATGTGTTTTTCTTATCAGATACAAAAAAAAACGCAAGTCCAAAATGGCGTTTTGTCGCCATTTCGGACTTGCGTCTTCAGTCTGACAAGCATTATCTCACCTTATCTCGACCACTTTTATAAAATGTTATTGCATTTTTTTGATAAGCTAGTATATTTTGTATAATAAGCTGGTATATTTAGTTTACACATCATAAAGTGTGCTGAATGTTGCAGAAAAACCAGGCCACCACACACTCTCTTCATGTAATTAGAACATATTGCACACAAAAGCCCCATGAGCCACTTTATGACCCTATGGGATGAGGGTTAGGGTCTTTTTGCTCTGTGTGGTCCTCCTGGCATCACCTTTAAGACAAAAACACTCTGATCTGCCAAAGGGATTGTGAAGTGAAACCACATACTCAAGCTTAAACACAGAAGAAGAAAACATTTTATTTACATAGCACATTTTCACTGCAACAAAGAAAGTGAAACAAAACAAATGATAAAAAGACAGGAAAGAGATCATAACACTGTCTAAAGGTTAGTGAGTAAGGGTGGGAACCTAAGGGTACCTCACGATACGATACGATACACGATACAAAGCTCACGATAACGATAATATCACGATAACGATATCACGATAACGATTTTATCACGATATGACGATTATTGATATATTGGTCAGAAATATACAATATGCCAATTTATGGCATAAATTAAAGAAAAAATACTCTTTATTTCATGATAAATAGAATGGAGATGCGTAATGTAGCCATATATTAAGTATTGATACCAATAAAAAAATAAAAAAATAGTAAAAACAAAAAATTGATATCGATACTTGGCAAATGCATATCAATAATCGAATCGCGGGAGAAAGTATCGCAAAACACAAAAGTATCAAAAAATCGATATATCGTCACACCCCTATTAGTGAGTCTTTAGTTTCATCTTAAATTAGCTCAGATTATTCCATTTATTAATGAGAGAAAGCCACTTCTTAAAATACACCAAGTTTTAATCAAAAATAATTGTAGATTAAAACATTGTAAAGAGCCTTTAGTTCCAAATTATGTTGGAGGACACTTACAAGATCTTTCCTGGTAACTATGGTAACTCTCAAAAGTCAGACTTACTTCATTTCTAAGATAATTTATCTATACTTCATGGGTCAATCCAAATGACTCTTCAATGTCAGTACATATCAACTATAGTCTAATTATTATCTGACAAATGTGTCTAGAAGTGATGACAATACAGTATTTAAAAACATTTAGACAGAAGAATTATGTTTGCCTGCTTTCGTTAGTAAGTAAGTAAGACCTTTCACAGACCAGAGTCACAAAGCGGTTTACAATTGTTTTTTTGTCCTCTCACTCCACACAGAGATGGAAGCAGGGTCGCCATACAGGAGGCACATGCCAGACCTATTGTACATGTTTTTAGTGGAAGGGGAAACCTACACAAACACTGGGAGAACATGCAAACTCCACACAGAAAGGCCTGGAGGTGGAATCGAACTAAGGACCTTCTCGCTCAAGCGCTAACCACTGTGCCACTGTGCCGCCATAACAATAAATGTAATGAGATTGTAAAAAAACAAGTATTAAAAATTGAAACAGATTTCTATAACACTTATTTGTTGATATTAAGTCTTCTCTTCTGAAAGGTGCTGCCTCTGTAGAGCGCCTGTGCACAGCTTCTCCCTGGTGTTGTCACGTCCCGTACACCGAGCCAACACAAAGCTGTTTACCATTGACTAAAAGAGAGAAGTGCTGACGTGACCTCCGCTTTGCTCACCCCCTGTAATTGTATAACACCGTCAGCTCCTCAGGGCAGATCCCCATCTTCCTTTTATGCTTAGCCTATATTTGCCAGTTCCACTTCCTCACCCCCCCACCCTCTTTACTCGCCCTTTCATTTAGCCCCCTCCTCTCTCTCACCGCTGGTCTCTTTTACACCATGACCTAGACGCTCTGTTCCCCGGCTAATGCTGTTGCCAGATTCCTGCGAGGAGGAGGAATGTGGCGGAGAGAGGGCCTCAGCTCCACAATTAACATTTCGCCCGCGCCGCACACTCACACCTAAGCAATCTCTATAACGACAGGATATTCATGAAAAGCAAATATTGGTGGTGAAAAGCTGTCTCCAGGCGACCATCAAAATGGGGGTAATTGAATGGAAAAGCAGAGTAAAAAAGAAAATATGCGTGAAAGGTAAATGCGGGTCAGGTTGGTAAAAGCCAGTGAGACGATGGTAGCGACAGCGCAGTGGGAGGCAGGGGATCACGCTGAGACTAAAGCTGTGAAGGAAATCCAATATTATTAAGACAAAAATACCTGAGAGCAAGAGGTAAAGGAGACAGGTAATTACCCAAAGGTACAGTTGAACACTTATAGCAAATGTATCACAGCAAGATTTTCCTCTGCAAAAAGGAGAAACTTCACTTTGCTTGATAATTAGATCGGAAATTATAAATACAGGTGTATTATGTGACAAAATGGAGGTGTTAGCGGCGGCTGTGTCAGGTGTGATAGAAAACCCTTTGGTAGAAGAACTCTCAACGAAACCAAGTTGGCAGGCACAATATTACACATTCCTGCCATATCTTCTTCACAAAACTAAATATATAAATCTGCCTGTCTGTCTGTCTGTCTGTCTGTCTGTCTGTGTGTGTGTCTGTGTGTGTCTGTGTGTGTCTGTCTGTCTGTCTGTCTGTCTGTGTCTGTGTCTGTCTGCCTGTCTGTCTATTTAGCCCATTTACATATCTATTGCATAACTGTAATGCTTTTGTATGGTTCTTTTTTTTGTTGAACTTTTTGATTCTCTGATCTGTTTTGGCGAATTCAACAGTTTCGCAAAGTCCTCCGAGATAGCTACTGTTGTGATTTAGAACCACACAAGAAAAAATTGAATTTCATTGAATTTCATTGAATGACTAGGCCTTTTTTCGGGTCAAAATGGCGGTGTATACATTTGACTCATCGTTCTTCCTGGTTGAAATAATAATTTCTTGACACTGATGTTAACTTTGTGAATGCATTCATTAATAGGACGATACAAGGTTGGTCAAGTTTACGCGATAAATTATGTACGTGATGCCTAATTGCTTATCATTACCGGTAATCAGTCGTCAAAGTGAAAAACAGTGTGTTCCGTATTTGGTAATTATGCCCCTCTGCGTATTACCCTCAAGAGGCCAAGCGCATACAAAAAAAAAACTACAAAACATAATTACTTTGTGGATTTGTGACTTACTGCACTGACATAGACTTAGTCCTTGTAATACACTTCCTTTTCTGCGAGCACCTGAAGGCATCACTGACCTAAATTGATATGAAGAGACACCCAGACACTAGTTACTGCAAAGGCGGGGGACAATTCATATTTCTCAGCCTGGGTAAATATGGCTGACAAAGACACAGCCTCCACGCACGGACACTTTTCCAAAAGAAGCAGGCTGCACGCTGTCCTCCGCCCTCCCTCCCTTCTCCTCAGCGTGGAGGGGGAGGGGAACGGTCCGGGGATAGTGATGGAGAAAAAGAGCCCGGGATGAGGCGAAGTGAAAAGATGCAGGAAGATGCAGGAAGAGGGAGAGGGAGAGGAACAAAAGGAAGCGGATGGAAACGTATTTGGTGGTGCATTGTGACCCCCACATGTGCGCCGATTCTCACTCTTAATCACCCACTTACTCAGCATCACGGCCACATGTCGGTGTCGTCCAAAGCGGTTGGAAAAGAGGAGAGCGTGCAGATTTGATGATAATATGCGGATTACGTTTCAAATGCTCGACAACTCTGCGCGATCCATCAACGATCAGTGTTGAAAATCTCTTCTATAAAAGGCTTACGTCCAACCTCTCCTTCAACAACCACCTCCCCATGTGGTAAATGTAATGTAATCATGTGAATTGAAATGTGAACTAGATTTATTTGCTTTGTGAGCTAGAATATTTGACTGGAGATGAACGTGACAAATGCTCGGGTGGTAGGGCGTTTACAGGGCACCAACATCAATTTTAACAGCATAATTTTATACACAAGCAGAAAAACAGAAGTTGTCCGTTGCATCTGCCATGTCACCAACACGAATCTTTTGGCTTCGACCTTCAGATAACCATAACATCAAGTGGAAAAACACTGGCATCTTTAGTCATGGAATTTACCATCTGCAAACTGACTATACAGCTTTAATAATATCAAAGAATTAAAAGTATTGTCATTAATCTGAATGCAATAATAATATAGAAAACAGTTTAGTAATGCCCGGGGCTGCTGCCTGGTGGGATTGTATTTTCTTCTTTTCTTTTGCAAATGAACTACATACAGTATGACTTAAATGGGGCTTTGATTAAGTGCTCATTGCCTCAGACTAAAGTATCGATCAGATTTTGGCTGTTTCGATGAACAGAACACAAAATATTTAACCATAACATGAGAAAGTACATTTGAAAATAGAGATCGGTATCATGGAATTCCTCCAAATTTAGCTCTGTAGAAAATACAAAAGATATGAATGCATGAAATATACACAGAGGCAGAAGGAGGCAGCGGGATCGAAGTCCAGACCTGGTTTAATCACAGCTCGGTCACAGAATACAAGGCACATGATGTTTTATAGTCTTTACAATGAAAAAATAGGAAATAGGAGCAAGGTATAGGAAGAAAAGAACGTGTAAGAGACCCCTTACCAGCTCAGACATCATTACTGTTGTTAAGTTCAAAGTTCTGTCATTTTCCTTCAATGTTTACCTTTAGACTCACCTACACGTTTCACAAAAGTCCAGTGTCAGTGAGGGGTCAATGGACAACAGTGAGTTTAGGACTTTGAGGCACATGTGTACGTCATACATCAGAGAACTGAAGCTAAAGCAGGAGAATTAACTCAAGCGTCACTAAATAAATTGTACTTTTCTGCAAGTAAAGTGTTGACTTGCATTCATCATGGTGTGCTATAAACACACGCTAAACCTCTAATGGGCCTATAGTGCTTGAGTAAAGGAATAAATGGCAGAGCGTGGAGTGCCTGGCCCACAGCGTCTTTCATGTGGATTGGGGGAAATGTATGTGCACATAAGTGAGACAGCTGGAGCTATCAGGGCAAAGCCGCCCAGAGCCAGCACTCTTCAGATGGAGCTGAGATGTGGGCTTTACCGTATCATCTGCCAGTGTGCTGCTGGGAATGAGACGTCACATTCATAACAGCCCCACTGCCTTATAAGGTAATTATCTCTCTCTCTGCTCTCCCTTTCTGTCGCTCGCCCCTCCGGTGGGGGAGGGATGAGTGGTTTCAATTATGTGCGACAAAGACCAAATTAAGCACCTGGTAATTTCAATATGGCCTCCTTCTGTGCATTAAGTTGATAGGATGTGGTTGTGGTGCGGAGGCCATGTGGTTGAGTGAGGTGTTTGCAGCTCTACAAACAACTAGAGCAGTGCACCAGAGCCTCTCTGCACATTCTGGAATGACCAACAATAATACAAAGACACTAACAAGACTGTTCTTCTGCAGTGAGCGCAGCCTGCTCCTCGGTGCATTATGCATCCAGAGCTCAGCGAGGCCCTAATCGATCAGAAGCAGCGCGGAGGGCACATTGAGACTTTACTCTCATTGACTACTTCACAATCAATAGTAACTGATTACTGAGCTGCAGCGGCCGCCTGGTTATCTGAGGCTGCTGCTGCACCGGTGTGTGCACTCTTCAATATCACACTTCAGAGTTCCACCAGTAGCTCCTGTCTCCTCCTCGGCCCCTCGCTCACACTGATCAAGGCCCCCACACACTGTGCCGTACATTATCTCTCTAATGAGCAGTGGCAGGCTGCAGCTGCAGATAAACTGTCTTGTGTGTGAAGGAGGTGAGAAAACTTCCTCTAATGTTGTCCAGGAGTTCTTTGAAGTCAGACATTATCTGACACTATATTCAAAGAGCCACGCTCAAAAAGGAGGGATCACACTGAGTGTGTGAATGTTCAGTGGAGCATGCTTTTTCCATGTCCATGTATGGAGGTGCAGCAGCAGCAAAGGACCAGCGTGTTCCTCACAGTGGGCTCAGCTCTAATCCACTGAGCGGCTGAGGACACAGTGCTGACTCTGCCCTTTCCTCTGGCTCCATAATCCCACAGGCTGCAGGTCTGGGGGAGTAATCCTGGATTAAAGACTCCTTCCCGTGGAGCGGCCCTGGGGTCCCCAGTGGGGCCTGCCACAGTCAGCTGTGCCTGAGGCGCTGCGCCCCTCGCTGCATGAGAACACATTACAGTCGCTCCAGAAAAATAGGCATACAGCTCTGATTAGGATTGAATTGCATCAAACCTCGCCTTGTCGCCCTAAGGGAGAGCTGCTTACGGCAGATGAAGAATGGTTAAGAGGGATAATGGTGCACGGCCTTGTGATGTTACAAGTGCCTTTCAGCCGAGGTGACAAAGATTTGGATTGGAACGGCAGGAAGTGAGCCCTCAAAGCAGCACTTTGTCATCAGTTGATACACTATAATTTGCACATTGTTGAAAATACCAGCTTTTGTGTTAATTGGAAATAAACAGCATGTGTGTTCTTTCTGGATGTCTCCAATCGCCTAAAGGAGAAAATCAAACCAAGATTAATATGCAACTGCATTTATAGCTGTAGTTTTATGTAACATACATCGAATTAGGTGTTTTAGTAGAAATACATCCTACCACTCATGTGGCCTGCAGCATCAGTAATGAGTTTGATTCCTCTATCATTATACAGATAGATCATTCTCTATAGAATACAGTGGAAAGTCCTCTTCGCTGGCCAGGCAACACTGAGCCAGAGTGGGTTATTTACCTGCATGAGCAGAGGACAGGGATTTGAACTTGCGTCAGCGCACATGTCCCACGGGCTCCGGTGAAGCACAACAAGAAGGCTTAATGCACGGGTGAATGTGGACAGCATGGCAACAGGACCACAGTTACAATGACAGAGCACTCACTTTACATTACAGGTACACTGAGGAGCAGACAGAAGACGGCAGACCGGTTTTCTTGCACATTTGTCATCTTTTATGAGCTCTTGTGCCACACTATTTTCCCGGAACGCTTTATAATCCACATATTTCATAAACTAAAAGATTAAATCAATGGCAATGGTTAAGTGTTCTTTTGTTAAGTCAAGAGCGATGATGAAATAAAGTGTTTTCCTTTCAAATATGTAAGAGTCTAAGCATGCAATCCCTTTAATTCAACTTTTTACAGATTTTAGATTATGCAAAGCTGATAAATTCTCTTCATCATTCATTTCCCAATGAGATCTGTGTACGATTGCATGGTCAAAAATCTTAATCTGTGGAGTACACAGCAGTCCCTGTGCATCTCTTCACCTCTGTTACCCGGGGGCTCCCTGCTCATGCCTGCAGCTATTTTTCACGAAACCTCTCATTTCATTTCCATCTCATCCTTTACCATTGAGTGCCATGGCCTTCACCTAAAGCCACTATGAATAGACAGCGATGAGCAGGTACTATTGTCATGATAAGTCAATCTATTTGCATCAAGGGGGAAAAGATGATCCATTTTAGCCCGACATGGACGGTTAAGAGGCAGCAGAGAATACAAATAGCTGACAATATGAAGGCAGTGATGTATGCATGTTTTGTGTCACACTTGATGATTTAGTATGCACAGATATTAGACATGCTTCATGCAAATGGCTTCTCCAACAGTAGTGCTGCCGAGCTGCTCTGAGCACCAACATTTACCACAGCCAATATTGAAATCAGACCAGAACGACACACGCACATTTAGATCAATTTGGAATCAATTGTCCTATTCATGGCATCTTTTGTTTTATTTGCTGTAGAGCTTCATTTTCCATCCATCCATTTCTCTCCACTTTATCTGTTGCCAGGATGCAAGACTGTTGTGAGCTTCCCCGTGTGACTGAGCTCCTCACTCTGCCTATAAGAGAGCTCTCAGTTACTCCGGGGAGAAAACCCATTGTGTCTGCTGGTATCCGCAATCTTGTCCTTTTGGTCGTTCCCAAAAGCTCATGACCGGTGAAGCTGGGAAGAAAAAAGTCTGATACAAAGACGGTATCACTGCTCCCACTGCACTGATCTTCACTGTGATCAAGATCCTGACTTTAACTTCAACTTGAACTGAGAGGAAGGACCTCTCCACCACCTGGAGAGGGAAAGGCACCTGTGTCTGTCCACACCACACACAGATTCTGCTCCTCCAAAATCCGAGATTCAACTATCAGTCGAAGTGCCCTCTCTAGTTTTCTGGAGTAGACCTTACCGAGGAGGCAAGGGGGTGATCCCACTAAAAACGGAACACGCTTCAGTCCCTCTACTTGATGACCTTTGAACCAACGTCTCAGAGAGTCTAGAGACTTAAGACAGGCTGGACAGATCTTATCCACTCGCCATCGAGGAGGTCGGCCGCAATCTCAGGGACTTCAGCCAGGAAGATATAGGTATTCCTTTCGCTGTCAAACCAAAATATCCCAAGTCCAACAAGAGGTGATTGGTGGATAGCTTTACCCCATCTGTGTCTGGAGATCTAGTGATACAACAATAAGGTCCTGAACCCCAGGATAACCGATCAGGGACGCAGCGATTCTCCTGGTCACTGTCGCTAGTGTCCACCACAGAGGGGAATTATCTATTATGTAAATGGCTCTCTTCTTATTCAT